AGGGCGCCGAGTGCCTGCCACCCGTAGCCACCGAGGGAGGTGTGGGCCCCGTCGCGTAGTGTTGTGGTGCTGCTCGTCCGTGGTCCTTCTCTGCTGAAGCCGAACGTCTTCCTAGTCCTAGTCAGAGATTTGCCTTTTCTTGGAAACTGTTAAACGAAGTGACTTTTTGCCCAGTTAAAGAGAGTTTAGTGGGAATTTTTCTCCTTAATGGGAAGCTTGCAAATTTCTGAGAGAGGCATACTTCTAAGGTCTGTTACTCAGGGATTTTGGTGCAATGTGCAACAACACAGGTATCCCTTTTAATTCTGGAAATAGTTCATGTACTAGAATTTGTGCTCTTTTTCACAGCTAATTGGGTCTTACTCTTCTGATGTTATGTTGCCTGTTTGTGGGTTTCTGCCTGCTATGAATACATGTTTTTCTCTATTCTTTAGGATGCGAAGCTAAATCAAGATGTGGTTTCTTAACAAAGAAACAGTTAATTCAATATAAGACAAAAGTTCTCCATAATAATAACTCTAAGAATAATGATATAAAATGAAAGCTTATGTAATAAATTTGATGTTAGTAAGCTCTTAATCAGGTCAATTATAATACGAATAAGACTTTTTCTGCTGAAGTGTTGCAGTAACAAGATAACTTTAACTGTTAAACTAGTGGGTACAGCTCTAAGGAGAGTCATGTAAAACTTCAGACATCTGAATCAGTGATAAAACGTCATATAACTGGGGAAGAAGGAATAGGTGTTTGTTACAAACAAGGTGATTCAAAGGCTTGTATGTTAGATTGTATTGTGACCCTTTGATAATTTTTAAAGATGTTAATTATGCTTATCAAATGCTGCTTTGAAGATATTCTTAAACTGTGTAGTCTTCATATACCTGATAAAGCATGAATCATGGTTTAAATCCAAAATAGTTCCAGCATGAATACCCATGTTCCAAGAACTGGTAATTTGAACAATGTTTGATGGGTACTGGATTATCTTCTAATCACAACTAGTTCAAGTGCTCCCCCAGAAGTTTCTGACAGTACGCTTCCGTCATTTGAAACTGAAAGGGTATTTTTGTAAGTTTTAACTATCTGAACTGTAATTTGCCTTGTGATTTTTTTTTTCCTTCACTAATAAAGGTAAATCTACTCTTTAACGTAAAATAAACCATCAGTTAAGACTTCTGTTATCCTTCTGTAACCTTCTTCTGCCTTCCTTTTGCATTTCACCTAAAGAGATACTTCAGGGCTATAAATGTGAATGCCAAAGCCCAGTATTTTTACTGTTTGGTGTGGCTTTTTTTTTTAACAGTAGTAGAAATAATGCGGGTGGGTATATCTTCATTATGTGCCATTCTACTGGTTTATTAAGGTAATTTAATGAGGATTACTACATCATTTGGTTCTAAATGATCTGATCTTGCAGAGAGGATGTTGTCCATTCATGCTGCTTTCTGACAATTAATCTAGTGTTAAAATGAAACTTAGATGAACTATGAGTGAGTTTAATAAAAAATGTGAATCTTCCCACTGGAAAAAAACAACTTCTTCCCCTGTGGCTAGCTATTCCTGATCCTGCTGTGTTGCGTACAATAAACAGCAAGGAGTTTTGGTTAAATCCCCCAGGGATACCCGTTAAAAATGTAAACTTAAGGGAATTTCTGGAACTTACCCAAAATACAAAGAAGACTTAAAGCTTATTTTCAGAAAGCTAAAAATAAAAATCGTATATCATTAATAGTTAAGTCATTATTAGCATTTTTACTAGAACTGAAGCTTATCCCTAATATTTTATGGATTTGTTTGGGGGGGGGGGGGGGGAAGGTCTTTCACTTACTTTTCTTAGCATGTCTTGATTAGTATTCCTTTCAGGTTTTATTTTTACAGTGATTAATTGTGTTGTTTTCAGGTCACTACTGAACAAACTTAAGGCTCTTCTAGTCTGATAGACCTAAACTCTGATATTTATATACTTTCCTGCACTGTAATTATGGGATTTCCAAAACTCTTAATTATTTTCCTTTAACAGGTGACTGGTAGAAGAGCAAGACCTCTTTCTGACTATGTCGAGGAGAAAGTTGGAGAATAAAAGCCTTTCTGGCTTGTTAGCCACATCTCTGCAGACACAAATAAAGACAGATAATTTCTACAATTTTTATATGCTTGAATCAAAAGAGCTAGGAAGGTAAGATTACTCCTATTTATTTTAGTAAGAGGGATTTCTGCTGCAAGAGAATTCTTTGTGCGATGATAGACCTTTTCTGGCAAACTTTTGTGGTAGTAGATAGGGAGTGAAGTATGTTTCCCCACTCCTTTCTTTGCAGTATGCAACAGAACTTCAAGGGACCAGGAAAAGGTTCAGTGACATATAAGTTGCCAGCCTTTACCATGTCAGATTTAGCCTGTTTTCACAGGCATGTAGATCTGGATTATGTTCCTTTCTTTCATTTCCCCTGCCTAGTCACACATCACACTGCAGGTACATAAACTAAAGAAGAGATGACATTGGGTAATACTGAAAGACAAAGAATGGGGATTTTGAGTTGGTTGTTCCAGTTGTTTCATTGAGTGTTTTGACGTCCAGAAGACAAAGAGCTTTTTCTTTCCCCTTCCCGCCCTCAAGCAGTTAGTCTAAGTTTCTAATAACCTGCTGTTTGAGAGTAGTTTTGCAGCCTGCTTTCCTTGCTCATGTTTGCTTGAGTGGTAAAATAGGAAATAAAACAAAAGAAAATAAACCCCACCTTGGTATTTATGATACTGTTTCAGACATTGGAGTTAATGCTTTTTTGAAATTGTTAGGTTAATGCATACCTTGAAAATATCAGGGTATTGGGTGTAAAGACATGCAAACATAATGCCATGGTCATGTTTCCAAGCTGCTTGAACAGAAGTGGCATGGGTCAGTTTTACAGTTGTTGTGCCTTGCTGTGCTACATAGCAATCCTTTGCACCTGTAACTTGTTTTGTCAGCAGAGATGCTCTTCTACATGTGATTTTGTCAGCTCTTTAGCCTTCATTATTATCTTTTTTTTTTACCTAGCATGTGTTTTATCTGGTACACTTCTATAAAAAGTGCACCTTGCAGCCCATAACTCTCCTCTGTTCTTACCCCTTTGTCAGCTCTAGTTTTGAATTCTAGGCTCTACAGAAGCAGCTTATGTGCACCATCCTCTAGAACTCTCCAGTACTCTTAAACTGCTGGATTTTCAGATTATACATACCTGTGACATAATGTCTAAAGCAAACAAAAGTACAGATTTTGTGTGGATTCCAAAACACAGTCTTTAATACTTTCTGTACATGCGAAACCAGGCATAACAAAGTAAGTGCCAAAATGCAAAGAATCAGAAGCAGAGTAGTATGTTTTTCAAACTTATTTTTAACTTCTCCTGGCCTAACTGTGTGTATGCCTTTTATTTTAGCATTTTAAGTATTTACAACACCTTAAGTGATATAAAATCCACCTTTCTTTGTAGCTTCTCTAAAAGATTTAATATGTTTTTCATTTCACTTGCAATTTTCTTCTTTCTCTTCAGGTGACTTAGTAAATGGTTCTTTTGTTCTTCTCTGCTTAAGCTTTGCAAGTCCTATTTCTTCCTCCCACACCCTTATATTTTAGGTCCTTTAGTATTTAAGACACTGACTTCATTAAGCAGGCAGGTTCTGTTTAGTGGGTTAAGTAGCCTTGTCCCCAGTGTGGATGGCCTGGCTTCTTTTGAAGTAGTTGAATTTCTGTGGTTTATAACTTGGGATAGGAAGACAACTTGAAATTGGCTTTTATCTTGTAAAACTGGGCTGTAGAGCACGATGGTTAAGCAGTTGCTTTGCAGGCAACAAGGAGTAAGAACCACTTTGCTTGCCTCACTGCAACACTTCAGGTCCGACTTTTGCATTTCTGGGGAAATGTCACTGCTCTAAAACTATTTTGTGTCTTAATAATTTTGTCTTAATAATTGGCATGCTACAAATATAGTATAAACAAGTGGAAATTCTTACATCATCTATCTGGAGATACTGCTGACCCTCAAAGCTGTTATACCCGCAGTGACTAGAAGGAAGATGTGCAAAATAAGGGAAGATCTTGCTGTTCTCATGAAACTCAACCAGTTCCCCTTTTTTAATTTTAGAGAAACTTTTTTGGTTGACAGGATGACATGATGTTAAAAGGAAAATGTAAGCTGCGGGGGGGTATCTTAAACTTTGGTATATTAGGACATTCAGCTCAATAACTTCAAATGCTCTGCAATAGTAAGCTGGTTTAACAATTGGGAAAGGACTTGGCCATTTCAGGCTTCCAAACAGTTCCTAAAGTGAAGAGTGTGCACGTATCGGACTGTAAATAATTTTCACCTCTGTAATTTTTTTTTTGTTTTGTACTCTTACCTTTCTAAATTTAGTGCTTTAAAAAAAGGACAAACAAATCCTACAACCAATTGATGTTGAAATAAATTATGACAGAGAAGCTGTTTTGTTGAATTTATTTCTAAATAAGTGGTAGCAGTATGATTAAAGGTCAGCTTTGCATGTTTAATAATTTAGTCAGATTTGTACAAACTATTTAACATATCGTTATTTGTAAATGGAAATCGATTTTTCTTGAGAAGCTCATACCTTTTTTGATTAAATACTGAAGTCTAGATTTTTTTTCAAAAAAGTCTCAGACATGGTGGGGCGTTGTTTTGGCTTTTTTTTTTAAGAGATGTTCCTTTTAGGCATTGGGTTTTTTGCACCAGAAGAAAGGCAAAGACTGCAGGGCAACCTAGTATTTTCTACTAAAGAAGCAAATTTAGTTGAAAAAACACAGATCAGATAGCTTGTAATGAGCTTAATCAACTTTGTTCTTAGTATGCTGTGGTAACAAAAACCATGAGTGGAACGATGTTGGTTTTTTGAAGACATAAGTGTAGGTCTTGTACTTTGTACGCAGTTTTATAACTGTTTTTAGTACTTTACACAATTTATTTTAGCCCTTCAAGTTGTTGTTTTGGTTTTTTTTAAATAATGTTTCTAGTATCATTTGAAAACACTTTGGAAGTATGCAACTAGGCATTTCTGGGAATGCAAAACTTGTGATTATAAAACTGTGTTTTTTCAGGAGTTTATAACTTGGCTTAAAAAACTGCATTTTTTCCCCTAATTTTTTAAAAGGTCAGCTTGGTGTGTTAACTGCAGTATGTGGTTTTCTTTTAAAAACATTTCTCTGCCAAAATACATTTTTGTTCCCATACCTAAACAGTTGGCTAGGAAATAAAGCAGCACACTTTGTCTAACTAATTGAGAAAGAGAATGTGAAGTAGTGGGTGTCTTTCTGTTAAGATGGTTTTAAACATTTTGCAGATATACACGGGTTGTTTTTTTAGCAGTACTACACGATTTGTGGAGGGAAATTCTCCTCATGACTCTAAAATTTTCTGCACTGAAAACCTTCCCCCCTCCCCCAGCATACAAATACACTTTATTTTCTGTGTTTGCTCTCTACATTTCACAGGGTTTTGCTTTGTTTATTACTGTATCCTGTAGGTGCTATAATGTGGTTGAGGTTTTTTTAATAAAATACTGCCAACCTGAACACAGCCCTGAGTAAGTTGGTAGGATCTCACAGCTGGCCCTGCTTAAAGCAGGAGGTTGTGCTAGAGACCTCCAGAAGTGCCTTCCAACCTGAGTTATTCTATGATTCTGTGATCCTACAGTGAGAATGTCCGTGTAACCTGATATGCTGATTTAATGCTTAGCTAGTCTGTATAAAGTGAATTGTACTGGGTCTTGCCAAAGCTTCATCTAGCTTAGTATCCTTTCTCCTACAGTGGCTGAAAGTGAACATTCAGGAAATAGTGTAAGAACAGGCCAAACATGGCATTCCCCTGATAAGTTGGGGTTTTCTTGTTTGATTTGCTATGCCTGTTTATTTCTAATGGCAATTTACACTTTTTATGTCTTAGGTCTTAATGTTTTCCCTTTTATTTTGTAGAGGAAGATCTGCTGTAGTTAGAAAATGTATAGCTAAATCCACAGGCCAAGCATATGCAGCTAAATTTTTAAAGAAAAGAAGAAGAGGTCAAGACTGCAAAGCAGAGATTTTTCATGAAATTGCCGTGCTTGAATTAATGAGATCTAATCCTCGCATAGTTAATCTCCATGAAGTCTATGAAACAGCAAATGAAATCATCTTAGTGCTGGAATAGTAAGTATGCCTTCATCAGATGTTCCATGTTTGTAGTTACAAATCTGTCAATATACTCGGTTTTTGCATGAGTTGTCCAAACACCCAGAAAAAATACAACAGTACGCTATATACATTATGCTAATATTTCATTATGATTTACTTTATAAGCTCTTAGGGACCTCTTTGGTATGATTTATTTTCCTATAAATGCAAGAGTTTAATCAATTGCTGTTAATTAGGTCCTTGGTTTTGTATGTGTGTTTTGTTACATCCATTACAGCTAATGAGTTATGTGAAACAATGTGGAATAAGGTATAAACCAAAATACACCAAAACCTATTGTAGTTCTGTACTTAAAACTCTTACAAAATGGACTGAAAGATTTATTTTGGCAAAAAGCTATCAAAAAATAAAAAGATATTCTTCTCACTGCATAACTCAATTTGGTAGGTAGTTTCACTCAATTTCAAATGGAAATAATTTTTGTGGCTTTAAGTATCTCAGGAGTGTAATTTTCATGAAAACTTGTCTGTTTAATTTGAGCAGATTATTTCTTCTGCTAGTTGGAATTTTGGAAACAAAGCTCTGATCAATTTTTAGGTTAGACTGCCCTAATATAAAACCTGAATACAAACTCTAGGGTGTAAATTTTTTTTTTTTTTTTTTTTTTCTTAAAGAATCTTTCATGCAAGCTGACTGGAGAGAATGTCCTTGAATCCCATAGAATCATAGAATTGTTTAGATCTTAAAGATCTTTAAGTCCAACTGTTAACCTAACACTGCCAAGTCCACCAATAAGCCATGTCCCTAAGCACCACATCTACCTGTCTTTTAAATACCTACAGGGATGGGGATTCAACCACTTCACTGGGCAGTGTGTTCCAATGCTTGACATCCCTTTCGGTGAAGAAATTTTTCCTGATACTTCCCCTGGCACAACTTGAGGCCATTTCCTCTTGTCCTATTGCTTGTTAACTGGGAGGAGAGACCAACATCCACCTCGCTACAGCCTCCTTTCAGAGAGTTGTAGAGGGCAATAAGGTCTCCCTCCCTTCAGCCTCCTCTTTTCCAGGCTAAACAACCCCAGTTTCCTCAGCCGCTCCTCATAAGACTTGTGCTCCAGACCCCTCACCAGCTTTGTTGCCCTTCTTTGGACACGCTCCAGCACCTCAATGTCTGTCTTGTGAGGGGCCTAAACCGGAACTAAATCATACAAAACCCAAAAAGTAGCCACTGATTCCAAGTACACAGATTTCGGAGAAGCTGAGCACATCTGTGTTCTGTGACCTTCAGTCACTGCTTGACACTTTTTGGTGGCTGAAAACTTGCAATTCATTTGCAGGTTCTGAGCTTCTAAATTTAGTGGTTTTGTTGTTCTAAAACTGGCTTTTGGAGCTGCTTCCTCAAAAATTACCGTATCTTTTTAGATGCCTCTGGGGCTTCTCATAAGCTCTGAAAACATATCTAACTTGAATTATCTGTCATATTTGCTGTATGTGTAGAAGTTTGTTTGGAATGTAAGGAATAAAACCACAATTTGTGAAATGAGTTCAGATAGTCTCTAGGTAGGATTTAAGTTTCAGTACAAAGTATTTGAAGAGCTGTTCATGACAGTCTGCACACAGTATGATAAATTCCTTCAAATTTTCCAAAGAATGTAGCTAGATAATCATAAAAAAAAAAAACCGCTTTTTTCCTGGAACTAGATCATCCCTTATATAGTATTTTGTTCTGAGAAGACTAAAATAATAAATAACATACAAGTAAAGATAAAGTTCAGATGACAAGTTTTGAACTTATCAAGAACAAGTGCAAGTTCACATAAAAGCCATACTGATTCTCCTTCTGTTTCAGCTCAGCTAACTCAGTCTTGCTTATTAAAGCTCTGTAATGAAACAACTTCCATATGCTAAATTGGTGTTAATGGTCTACTTCGTAGTAGTGTTCAGAAGTCTTGCAGTTAAGTGTTCCTCGTTGAATTGGGATAAGTAGAGGGCTGATAACGCTTCTAAATTGTGTTCTGTAGGAAGGACACAGGCGTTTGTTTCTCATTATCAGAACTCAGAAGCAGTATTTTAAAATAATTGCAAGAAATCAGTCTTTTGCTCATAAAATAGCTTATAAACATTTCCTATTTAGCTGTATCTTTCCTCCCACATGTGGTCCTCCCTGTTGTTCGATTGTATTGGTGGGGTTCTTTGGAAGATGCAGTAGTAAGAACCAGTTTGTGTAAGTGCACATCTTCTAAATAAGAGAGAAATGGATGCTTGCTGTCTGTGAGGACTTCCAAGTCCTTTTCAGCAGAGCTGTTCAGCTCTTTACTCATCTGGTTTTCCGCCTTAATGTGGTAATTTGAATACAAGGATACTGTGGAAGACAGTGTTGAAAACCTTGCTAAAGTTGAAGTAAATTACTGCTCTTCCCCTTGTCTACATTTTGTCATAAAGGCAACTAAGGCGAGGCATTACTCACATAGCTCTGGTGGGTTAGTGCCTGTGTTTATCTGTGTTGTCTATTATCTGACTTTTTTTTATAGACTCTGTTTTGCTAACAATGAAATTCAGGCTTACTGATCTGTAGTTTTGAGGTAGCCCTTTATCCTTAAGAGAGACACTTCAGGTAGTTAAAGCAGGCTGAATAATGATTTCAAACCCAGCACAAAAGGAAACAGCAGACACTGTGGCAAAGTGTAGAAGTATAACTAATAAACCACATGCAACACGGTTATTTCCATGCTTCCTTTATGCTGTACGAATAGTAGGGGTTTTTTCTACGTAAACAGCCTTTTTCAGATTTGAGATCCTCCATGAAAACATGAAGATTGTCAATCTCATCTTTGTTGTTAGTGTGGAAATGGTAGATTTCAAAGTGATAGAGCTGAGTCCTTGTATTTCTGAGTATTTTGTGTCTACCGGAGTTCTGGAAGCTACTGCTCACTAACTGACTGTGTATTTAATGATCATCAGCATGCTAGATTTTCTTCCTGGTACCTTTCTGATAGAAATACCTGGTTTTTAGTCTTCCATCAGAATGGCAGGACCTAGGGTGGCAAGTATGCAGTTTCCTCCCACTCCAGAAATAGTCTTCATCAATTTTAGCTGTTCATTGCATTGTAGTTCTTATATTTACACCACAGCCACATCCTGTAAAAAAAAATGATGATTTTTACTCCCGAATTCAGAGAATAGGAATACTGCTGGGCTTCCTTGCTCTGAATTATTTATGGAACTGGTCTAATGGAAGAAATTTTAGATTTGACTTGTAGAGAAAGGCTGCTTCTGTTAAGGAATGATGATAGAACTCATCTTCCTCAAGGCATCTTCACGCTCACTCGTGGGAAAGCATGCCTGAGGGTACCAAAGCTTTATGAGGTTTTCAGCCACAAAGTTCTGTTTCACAGTCTCAACTGCTGTTGATGGCTATGAGGAAAGAAAAAGCATCATCAGATATTTTCTGTCCTTTTCTAAGTGCTTATATGATGGGTCTTGGCATAAATGTGTGTAAAAACAAAAAACAACAACAACAAAGTAATAATAACAATATTCCCAGCCTCTATGAGAATATGAATATGATAAATTAATATATATTATATAAATGGGTACTATATATAACTTTTTTCCTCACTCAGGCTTGAAGATTCAAACATAATATGTAAGTGTTCTTGAATGTGTTTCAGTGCTGCTGGAGGAGAAATATTTGACTTGTGTGTCCCAGATCTGGATGACAGAATTGGTGAAAGGGATATTATAAGACTCATAAGACAAATACTTGAAGGACTTCGCTGCTTGCATGAAAACAATATTGTTCATCTTGATTTAAAGGTGAGGCTGCAGCAGACTTTTTATTTTAGTACTTTATCTTCAATTTAATACTATTAAATTAAAATTACTTCAATTAAAATAACTTGTTAAATACATAATAAAAATCAGGAGAAAAAGCAGTGCATTAGATTAAATTTTTAAAATAAAATTTAGGAATAAGTATTGCATAATAGAAACTGAAATGTCATTTAGTACGTTGGGGGGTTTTGCAGCTTATATTTTATTGATTGAGAAATAAATCTTTTCTATTCTAGCCTCAAAATATTTTACTGAGCAGTGCCAATCCTCTTGGTGATGTAAAAATTGTAGATTTTGGTATGTCTCGGAAGATTGAGAATTCTAGTGAACTGCGGCAGATCATGGGAACAACAGAGTATCTAGGTATGGAAGAGTTGCTTCACAATTTCTGTTGTGTGGTTTTGAGAAAACAGAAGCAGTTCGTGTAATGTGCTTATGAACTTATCGGTCATTATGTAGAAAGAATGGCAGGACAGGGCAACATGTTTTGAGCTGTTCTATTTTTAGAGTAGTCCACAAATATTTGCACAAAAAAAGTCCTGAATTATATCAATAATTGTACCTCTAATTTCATGCCATAGCATTTGCTGTGATGCAGACTGTTAAATCAAAAAGAAATTTTGGCTGTTAAATTCTTTTAATTTAGAGTTGAAATACAACATTAGCATGCACAAAAGATGTGTTCTTTGAATTAGGAATGCTGTTTAATATGGTGATTTAAGAAGATTAAAATATTCCTCAGGAAGGGAAAGATTGCCATTAACACTTGGCCCTCTTTGAGGGGCAGGTTTCCTTAATAATCTGAGTACACTCAATTTCAGGAGAACTTAAATCTGTAGCAAATAACTTGTTATCTAGCATATGCTAACAGCCACTGGTCCTAAAATTGGCTTGGTCATCTGCCTTCGCAGTGTTAACATGCTAAAGGCTTTATGCATTCCCATCAAAAAGCTATATACTTGAAAACCTCTTAGAAGATTCTTTTATGTGCATGTATCTGATTAGAAAATTACCTTGGGACTTGGATAGAATAGACTTTGGGCCACACAGTGCCATTTTAGTGTGAACCAGTTAAGCATTGGTATGTCTGTATCAAATGGAAATAACTTTTTTTCCCACCCTTGTAGCTTGAAAATAATAAACTTGATTATTGAAACTGCATGTTTAGTCTCATGATAATGGCTGGCAAGAAAACTGCCAGAATTTATGATTCGAGGCCACTTGAATAATGTATCTATTAAAGTGTTTTTCTTCTTCCCATCTCTTTCTCTAGCTCCAGAAATCTTAAACTATGATCCTATTACCACAGCTACAGATATGTGGTAGGTTGTATATGTTAATTTATTTTATTGAGGTAGGCGTGACGACTTAACAATCTAGGGGCCAGGTCCAGACTCTGATGCAGTTTTATCTGGCTTCCAAGAATGCCCTTCTGTTGGTGTTGGTATGCTGACCAAAAGAGGGAGAGCTGGGCAGGGAAGGAACCCTCAGGATATAATTTGGGGTTTACAGGAATTACTGTATATGGGTCTGTTGCACACCTAGTAGAGAATGCAGGTGGCTTCTGAGCATGCAGAATGGTATTTATTCTAAGGGAATAATAACAATGATTGGATAGTATGCTTTAGGTATTAGTTACTCTTGGATGACATGCTTCAGGTATTGACTACTCTTGGACACTCCTCCCTTGCCCCTTTTGTGTCATTAAATAATATTATACAAATGATAAGAAGTGTTTCAACTTTCTACTTCCCTTTAGAGCAGTATCTGCAGAATGAGTTATTAAAAAAATGAGAAAAGTACCTTAAACTAATCGACAACTTTATTAACTATAACTTTGTAGCCTCTTAATTTCATGATCTGTGTTGTTGTTAAGGCTAGCTTTGTGATGTTTCCTTAAAAACATAAAATATTAATATGCTGTTCTTAAGGATCTAAATAATTAAAATTCAGTTTTAAAAGTTGCTGTGATCTAATTACTCCTTCAAAATTCTCAATTCAGAATAGTAATTAAATCTGTTCATGAATGTTTTTTAACCACTTACTTGCCTGCTTTTGTGGGAAGACATAAAACCAAACTATTGGTGCTCTACTCAGTGGCAAACACAGCAACTGTATGTTTCCACGCTGTAATGAGTTCTAAGGTTTGATCTGTCAGATCAGAAACCTATTTTTCTTATGCATCAAGAAACCACCACAGACTTACAGTGAATCACCTCGTGTGTGGTACTCACGTTCATGTTCTTAGGGAAAAACATCTGAGGATATTGTAACACAAATGTCGATTATACAGAAAGGTTGACTAAATATCAGTCTTTGATACTTCATGCAGAACTGTAGTGAAAGAGCGTTTTTATTTACGTGCAAATGAAAGTCTGTCTTTCTGCAGTTCTATCATTCAGAATTGCTATATGTCCAAGAATGGGCTTCCTTTTCCTAACAATCTCAATGGGAAGAAAAAGGTACATTAAAAGTAAGCAATTTTCAAAAACAGAGATGTATAAATAGCTTTCCTTGTGTGTGCTTGTGCATACATGCTTGAATCCCATAAAAGTGAGATGTCTTACGATGTTTCCAATTCTTCTGAGTGTGACATACATCAGGAAGTTTGATCTGCAGTACAATAAATATGGGGGATATATCATTTAGGTATCCTAGTAGAATTATACATTGTCTTCTTATCTCAGGAACATAGGTGTAATTTCGTACATGCTGTTGACACAAGAATCGCCATTTGTGGGAGCTGATAATCAAGAAACTTACCTTAATATATCTCAAGTTAACGTGGATTACTCAGGAGAAACATTTTCATCAATTTCACAGCCTGCCAAAGACTTCATTCAAAAACTTCTCATAAAAAATCCAGAGTAAGTAATGAACTCCTCCAGGCAAGAATGCTATCTCTTATGTTTGTGGAGCACCTAGAAAAAGTGAATGTTAATTTGGGAGGTTAATAACACTGATGTGATTGCTCAGACATTTCACAATGCATTGGTGTTATCAGTTGGATATTTAAAGATGTAGATTTATGTTTTTCCGTAATGTATGAAAAGGATCTTTGGTTCATTGTCTGGCTATTATTGTAGTCAGGCTTGTGATTTGAGTCTAGTATTTTGAGTTTCTTTATATTTTCATTCAGAGGACAGATTATTAACAAATCTGATGAAATATAGTCTAAAAGGTCACATTGTTTATGTTTAACCTTTTATTGCACAATTTGGAGACACAAAATGCAATGGTTTTTATGCAGTACTTTATTGTTGCAACTTATCTTTAATGTATCTTCCTACTTTAATAATTTTATATAAAAACATGGCAGTCTTGTGACTGAGCATATATCTTCTTCAGAAATATATAGTGTTTTACCTGTTCTTTTAAAAAAATGTTCTCAATCAAAAGTGCAAACTTCTTTTTGTTTGTAAGGCACGCTTTTGTAACTGCGTTCTTTGGGAGCTCAGGCTCTAATGGAGGCCTTTCAAAGCAGCTGAACTTTGAGAAGATAGTTTTTGAGAGTGGGGAATTATAGACATTAAATGTGTCTGCGCTTGCTGTGTAGTGTTAAATCTGGATTTTTTTTTTAACTTGCACCAGCAAATGCTGTGTTTAAAAAAAAAAAAAAAAAAAAAAATCCAAACAAAAAGGCAAAGCAAAACACCCTGAAAGGTATATATGGGGCAATAATATTTAGTAAAGTCAGTCAGTCATGTTCTGCTAGGCATGGTCAGGTATTATCAATTATAGTGCTATGTATTGTCACTTGTGGTGAGACAGTAGTCCCTGTCTTCTTCAGAAAGCCTGCAGCAAGGAGTGACCCTGTTTGGTTGGAAAGAGGTTCTTTGATAGGTGGGGATGATGAGAGATGATATCCATGAAGTGCCTACTTTGACAAAATAAGGACTCCATATAATAGGGTCTAATATATTTTTTTAGCAGCAGTGGTAGTGGTGGAAAATGAGCAATACTACCTCTTCAGTGTCAATTCTCCTTAAGATTTCTTAGCATGTATCAGTAGTATTTTAATTACATTTCTAGTATTTCTGAAATTAACTTGAGAACTTTACCCTCTTCTCTTTCAAAGGGAAAGACCCACAGCAGAGGCCTGTCTTTCTCACTTGTGGTTGCAGCAGGAGGAGTTCATACTCTTGTGTAGCCCTGAAGAAACTTGTTGCTCTTCTCTGATGCCAGGACACACAACAAAATGCTCAGAAGAGTGGAATATAAAACCCAGTTGTAATGGTACCTGTAGCAACAAGGAAGACAAAGAAAACATTCCAGAGGACAGCAGTACAGTCTCCAAACGCTTCCGTTTTGATGATTCATTGCAGTATCCCCAAGACTTCATGACAGACTTCGTATGTTAATGTGTAATATAGACTTTTATAAAATGAATTTAGCATAATCTATTCCAGTGGTGAATGTAAGATTATGGCTTGCCAATTTGTGCAGCGTTGGCATACTGGAAATGCACTTTGATTCTTTTGTGCTGGTGCTTCCTTTTCTATCCATTGCTGGCAATGGATTTAACTCCTGAGAAATTGGGGTTGTTGCACCAGTAAAATGAATTATTTTTTTAAGAAGATATAATTAAATATTTTTGCACTTTTCAAGTTTTAGTCCAAAAATTCTGCCAGAGTGAACAAACTAAAACCTGAAAATGAGTTTATTTAAACTCAAGCTTTGCCAAACAGTGGTTGAATACATATACGCTTTTATGACTAGCCCTAATAGGAAATTGGTCTAAGCAGGGAAACGGAATCTAGCTGTCTTATTAGGCTTATTTGTGACCATTCTTATAGCTTTAAATGAAAGCTAAAGTTGGTATGTTTGGAGAATATGATACACCTGTTGGGGCCACTTGAAAAACTGCTTTCTCTCTAGGATCACTAGTAGCTAAGGAAATGTTTCTGCCTTATAGGTCTGGTCCACTTAGAGATTATAATGCATGCTCTATGTGCTTTTCCTATGTTGGATCTCTGGAATGCTTGAATAGAAGACGGGTAGATGGTCAGTCCTTCTGCTGGTGGTCCTTTGCTTCTTATCAGTAAGTTATATTTGAAGAGGATGAGGGTCCCATGCTGATGTGAATATTTGATACACTTGTTAGTTTGCTTTCATAAAACATCTAAAATAGTATTGTCTACCTGTATTGACTTATTCCTCATCTTAAAACAAACAAAAAAAACCACACCAAAAAAACCCATACAACTCTCCCCCCACCCCCCCCAACCAGAAAGACTCCTCAGAATTATAGTAATAACTGAATAAACTGAAAATAACCATTTTTGCCAGTGAAGCTGCAAATAAAAACTTTTCATTATGCCACTCTAATGTAGAAGTGTAGTGTATCTGTCTGTCAGTTGGTGTTACACGTAATAACTCACTTCATGCCCACTCTGAGAAATGGACTGCAGTATGTTCGTATTAAAAGACAAACTACCTAATAATTTTTCTAAGCCTTTAAATTTGGTTTGTTTAGTGGGTTTGTTATTTTTTTAAGTTGTATCCCTTCCTTCATGTTTCTGGGCTCTGAGGAAATAATGCCTATGTCAAGTTTTGACTTAGAGCAAATACCAATCATGCCTTAACAGCCTGAAACTAATACTGACAAGATAAAATCCTAATCGTAACACTGAGGCTTGGAAATCTCTTATAAATATTTTGCAAGTAAATGGCACTTTAAAATACTGAGATTTTCCACTCCTTAGAGCTTAGACTTAATAGTCTTAGATTTGGATTTGGTTTGTTTTGTATAATAAAATATCACAATCTGATAATTTTTTCAAGTGTGCCTGTGGACTTGTCAATAGTTAGGCAGATTAAGGTTTTGGAACATCATATGATTGAGAGGTGAATGTAATGAGTGGTAAAAGGTTGTCTTTTATCTTTCTTGGCACAAAGAAGGAACAGATTTTTTTTTTTACAAATAGATTTCAATATAAGGTATTGCCATAGTGCATGCGGGAATTCAGGACTGTTGTCTTTATTTTGGGTGACACTTATGCCAATAAGTGAGAAGTCAGCTGAGGTGTAAGGCATGTAAGACTATCTTTCAGCTTATGCTTGTCAGAAGAAGTAAGTTTTCCAAGACTTACTTTTGCATGAAATGCAGTAACAGATATATTCAGCATGGATGAAGCTCAGATGCCTAGGTATAAATGAACCACACTTAAGTCTCCTCTATGTATTAATTCTCATATAATTTTTTTCAGTGATAGTGATAACATATATAATTTTAAAATTACTTTGCTGGAGGCTGTTGTTGGACTGTGTTCAGGTACCATATACCCTTACTTTACGAAGTCCTTGGCTTTTCCCAGTTGAAGTCTTATCTAACCTTTTCTTTTGTCTACCAGTGTGGAGTCTAATTTGAACTGGGTAAATTAAAAATATGAACTATTTCATACATACTCAGAAGTTAAAGTTCACTTAAGATAAAGAAGAAAATGCCAAAAAGTTGTAGCAGATAAAGGTAGAAAAAATGTTTAGAAAACTGTTAAATTTTAGAACTTTGCAAAAATATCACTGAACTGAATTGCAACTGGGAAGCCTGTGGAAGTCTTTGTACGTTAGTATTCTGTTCTTAACATCTGGAAAATAAAGCTGAAAGTATATGCCAGCACTTTATGACAAAGTTGTTATTTCTTTGAGATTTTTACCATGGTGTTTACATTTCTTACTACTTTTGAAGCTAACTTATGTTTAAATAAATGAAAAATGGTCTTATCCAAGGAACTTAAGTTTTGAAGACCTTATTTGTATTTTATGTAAACTTAAAATATACCTTGAATCAGATTTTGTTTGGATTAGTATGTTTGATTTATTTAAATATATTATTGTGCATGCATAACTTCAATTGAATGTAAATACATACATTGTAGACAATTGTTAGCCTGTCTTGCTTCCTGCCATATTACTGGGAAATTACAAAGTGTAAATGAGTGATGAGTAACACTTTAAGATGACTGAAGTCATATTTCTATGCAGTTTATTACCTTTTTATATTAAAAAAATAAACTTTGCCTTTTTTAAAAAAAACTTACGTGTTTTCATTTCTTCACAGAACCAGAGAATGGTTGAGGTTGGAAGGGACCTCTGGAGGTCATGGTGTCCAACCGCCCTGCTCAAGCAGAGCCACCTAGACCTGGTTGGCCAGGACCATGTCCAGATGGCTTTTGCGTATCTCCAAGGAAGGAGACTCCACATCTCAGGGCAAACCTGTTCCAGTGCTCAGCCATCGTAACAGTAAAACTATTTCCTTATGTTCAGAGGGAACCTCCCGTGTTTCAGTTTGTGCCCATTCCCTCTTGTCCTGTCACTGGGCACCACTGACAAGAGCCTGCCTCCACCTTCTTTGCACCCTCCCTTCAGTTATTTATATATGTTGGTAAGATCCCCCCTCCAAGCCTTTTCTTCTTTAGGCTGAACAGTCCCAGCTACCTCAGCCTTTACGCATAGGACAGATGGTCCAGTCCCTTAATCATCCTTGTGGCCCTTTGTTGGACCCTTAGGTATGTCTGTCTCACACACTGAGAAGCCCAAAACTGGACACTACTCCTGTGCTTAGGGAAGGATCACCTCCATCAACCTGCTGGTGATACTTCGTCTAGTACAGCCCATGATACCGTTGGCCTTCCTTGTGGCAAGGGCATGCTGCTGGCTCATGTACAACCTAGTGTCCACAAGGACACCAGGTCCTTTTCTGCAAAGGTGTTTTCCAGCAGTGTGGCCCTAGCAGGGATCAGTGTATAGGACTGTTCCTCCACAGGTGCAGAGCTTTGCAATTCTCCTTGTTGAACTTCATGAGGTTCTTCCAGCTTGCAGAGGTCCCTATGGATGGCAGTATGACCCTCTGGTGTATCAGCCATTCCTCCCAATTTTGTGTCACCTGCAGCCTTGCTGAGGGTATGCTCTGCCCCATCATCCAGATCATTAATGAAGACATTAAACAGGATTGGACCCAGGATTGACGCTTGTTACTGACCTCTGACTAGACTTTGTTCCACTGATCACCACCCCCTGGACCTGGCCATTCAGCTGGTTTTCAGCCCGCCTCACTGTCTGCTCATCCAGCCTGTGCATCAACAGCCTGTCCTGGGATGTTACGGGAGATGGTGTCAAAAGCCTTGCCAATGCCTAGGTAGGCAATGTCCACTGCTCTCCTCTCATCTACCGGCCAGTCATTTCACCACAGGAGTTTATCGGGTTCCTCAAGCATGACTTCCCCTGGGTGAATCCACGCTGACTACTCCTGGTGAATCATGAACTTAGCAGCTAACTTCCTGGAACTATTCTATATGTGCCTGGGTTTTAGACATAAAAAGTTTATGTTCCTTTATGTAATGGTCTAGTTATGTCTTGCACTATTTAGTGAGGTGATACCTTTTATGATAAATTCTAATGGCTTTTGCTGAATGACCATGTAAGGAAACTTAAATAGCATGTTTGTTACACATATTAGACTCATAGGGCACTTATTGTACATTTGTTTAATTTTCAAGTCAATGGCTGAATTTAAAAAAAAATAACAATTTTCCCTTAGAGAAGGAATTGCACTCAAAAGAGGTGGTAACCTATTGTGGCCTGGACAATGTTTCCTACAAAGGCACATTTCATTGAGGAAATGAAAGCTTTCTCATTGTTAGAAATGCACAAATGAGCTTTCTTTTTAGTGAAAGAAATAGTGTGTTCGTGTGCTCGATTTGGTGTTGCTTGCAGCATTAAGCTCAGAAATTATTTGAATATTTACATTTCCTGCATTGAAGGTTCCTATGAAGAACACTGCCTTTTTTTTTTTTCTTTTTTTTATTTTTTCAAGACCTCTGGAAAACAAACCAGTCTGTTTAATGCTAGTAGTCATTTGAGACAGCTTGAAATTTCTGTCTTTTCAAAAGGCCTTCTAAGGAAGGAGACATATTAGAAAAATGCATTGTCCAGATAATAGCTGACCATATTATTACTGGGACAGTTGTGCTTCTCCTCTTGCCAAGTAAGGTCAGTTATGCTGGGAAAAATACACCATGAAGTTGGAGCAAGATAAAAGCATGCAATTAATGTGTGTGTGTGTGTTTCAGAAACCAGTCATCCTGTGCCTTAAGAACCAGGCAGCTGACAGACTTGAAAATACTGCTTGGCCCACTCAGCATTGGAGATGTGAGCAACATACAGAATGAGTCAGTGTGTAGAAAGTCTACCAAGTTTAATGGTAACTTGCCGAGTCACCTACCCGTGCATGAGAGTATATGGAAATTTCTTAATTAAAAGCAGGTACATTATGACATAAATACTCTTATCTAGTTAGCCCATGTAGTCTTAGCCCTGATAAGGGCTAGACTAGCACATAAAGTATTCAAAGAATGAGTCGTTTCATGTGACAGTGCTAGTTTTTGTTGCTTTCACAACACAACAGGAAGACAAAGGGTGATTTTTGACCCAGTAACACCTGTGACAAAACTGTTGCTTTCCAGTGAAATGAAGACTTCACCTTTGAGAAGAGTGTGAATGGAGAGTTCCTGTGACAAACACATTTGCATCCAGAGCTAGTAAGTCAGCATACCTACATAGACCACAAAGTATTTTTATTTCCTTTACTGTTATGATATTCTTGATAGTAAATAAAGACTCCTTTTTCTTTTTTAAACTGGCACTGATAGGTGCTCAAGCTCATTCTAGCGTTCTTTCAGAGCACCTGTGAAGACAAAATAGGCATACAAGTCCTGGCCTGTAACTTGCTTTGTTTCTGTGGCCATAGAAGTCCCCAGATCTCTTCACTGTCTTTAAAAATCTCTTCTGTGTTCCAGTAACTGTAGGATTGTGTTGTACATCCCTGCTGTTACTATGGTGGCTGTTCTAGAACAATTTGCAAAGTGATCTTCCCTTGATGGTCAGTAGTTCCATTGTGATATGAGCAGAAGACTCATCTGACTAAACACATGGTTCTGAGCATGATTTTTACAAACAATATGTAAAAAATCATCATTCTTCTTTTAGGGAAGAAAATACTATTTTAGTCCTATCTTCAATTTGATTTTCCTGCATTAATTATTCCATACGAAAGAGATACACATAATAAGACCTGACTTAATAAAGAACATAAAGTTCCAAAAAAAAATCTTTTTCAAATGGGGGAAATTTTCTAGTATTTCATAGGAATTACTTCTTACTTATAAAGCCACTACTTATATTTGTGCTTCCATATTGTTAATTCAGGTAAGGCAAAAATAAGGTATACAAGGAAAACATATAAACCTGGTTTTGTCTTTAAAAAAATTTTTTTAACTGAAAAATGTATGGGTTTTTTTTTTCCCCCACTGACAACTTGCCTAAAGTTTTATGTCTCACCATTCATGGTGAGCTGAAGTGTAAAATTCATTATCTTTTTGAAAGAATTATCATGTCTAATTGCATTTTAAGTGCTGTCCAAAATTTGAGTCCTGTCTATGAACATAACGGAGTTTAAATATCAACTCCTGATTTAAAACCCTTAAACCTGAATTTTGACGACTAAAGCTTTTGTTTTACAGAGATTATTATCCTTTATCAATCATTATCAGTTTTTCCACTGTTAGAAGCCTCTATGAGTAAGCTCTGCTTCATTAAAGGTCTTTACAATGTGAGATCAATTACTTGTTTTACATACAACTATG